GAATTATAAAATATTATAAGAGAGCCGACATAACCTTTGTCAGCCAAATAGTAAATAAAAAACACACACACACAAATAGTAACTTGGAGTTGCAAATTAGTATGGAAAACATTTGAATCTCATGACCTATTTTGTGTGTGTATGTGTGTGTGTGTGAGACAGAGACAGAGAGAGAGAGAGAGAGAGTAGCAACTGAATCCACACATCAACAGGCCTTGTTAATAAACTGGTTCCCGTATATGGATTGGGCTTGTATTAATTTATTAACAAGCCCATATTTGTTAGTGTAGTTGGGCATGTATGTCTAGAGAGTTAGAGGCCTCAACACCTTCCAATTTGTTCTTACCCCAAAAATCAATTTTTATGTTTTAAGGGCCTGAGTTCATAAACCTTGCTCATGAATTGGACAGCATGAGTTATTGCCCATATCAAAGAATAAAAAGCCCAAATTATATTTAAACCCAATATTATCTTTTGCAATAGGGTCCATAAATATATACCTCTACAATAAATAATTGGCCCACTTTGTGGATAAACTTATCATGTATTTAAAGATATTTTATTTTGATAAGTAGTGAAGATCCACTATATAGGAGTGTATGAGGCCCATTTCGAAGCTATCAACCCAAAAGACAATGGTCATATGATAAAAGGTCCAATTTGATACTAGATGTACTAAATTGCTGTTGTTGTTTCGCATCAAAGAAAAAGTATTATTTATTTATTTGTTTCCCGACAAATTAGAGAAAGGGAGACGAGTTCGGAAAGCTAGACGTTCTATCAACTAGGTTATGGGTAATGCCAAAGAGAAAGTATTATTTCGAAGGTTAGGAATATACCATGAAATTTCAATTACTCTTACCTGCATATGCTACGTTTGGCAATAATGACATTTCCATCATACCAAAATTAGTGGTCACCCAACTGGAGATGTAAAGGTTATCTCCTTTGGATTAGTGTTTTAGGCCTTAGCAATTCAACTATCATTTTTTGGGGCTTAATGGTATCTTCTCTCATTTCAAAGTAAAAGGTCTAGAGTTTGAGTCTCTTCAAGAGCTAAAAAATAATAATAAATTATAATAATAATCAGTCCTGCTTCTTGTGCTACTTTGGGTTTCGGATATCATTGATCATGGGGCTAAATGTTGGGGGAAAAAAAAAAGCTGATTTCTCAAATATTTTGCTATTCAAACAATGAAAGAAAATTTTAAAATTGCTCCAAGTATTATAGAGAAAATTTGAAGCATATGTTGGATGATTGTCTTAGAGCTTCCATGGTTTCAAAAGCTTGTCCATTGAGATTGTATGGGGTGCAGATAGGTAGTTGTCCTTGGAGTAATTGGTAGTTGAATCAATTTTCTCGTTGAATTGCCCGGTGAATGTGGGACAACACAAAGGGATTGCATGCGCTCTAAGAGACCCCACACCACCATCATCGATAACAATAATATAAACATTGTTCATGGTTGGAAAAATGACAACCATTGTGTTTATTTCCAAGGTCTAGCTGCTACTTTTTGTAGTATTAACGGAAGGCACGGAATGCCTATGTTTTCCAACTCGGAACAGTGGTCAATTGAGCTAATTATATCATTTGCAATCAATCAGATTGTTCCGACGCAGCGAAGAACAAATCAAGACACACGACCAGAAAAGTAATCACACCACACATAAGAACATAAATATTTAGCATGGTTTAACAAAAACTACATCTATGGTAGAGATTCGGCGAAAGTTTTCACCATACAAAAAATAGGAAATTACAAGTTTTAACCCTCAAACCCAATCTTTCGATCTCACTATCTTTCTCTTCAGTGTCTCAATCATCCCACTCCAAACCTTAAGCACATTTATATATCAGGCTACAATAGAGTGCTAAACCTGTAAGCCAAAAAAGGGATCAAAAATATTCAACGGGTCATTGGGTCGTAAACGGGTTATAACACGACCCCGCACCAACATTGAACAGTTTTTGGAGTAAAAAATTTCATGAAGCCTCCAGTAATGAATTCATCAGCTTCTGCTGCCGTGGGATCTGATGTTGAGCTTTGAATTTGGTGCAAAGCTAAGTTCGATATGCTGAAGACCAACATTGATTCTGTTGTGGATGGTTCGAAGCCAGAAATTGCAGGTGGTTTGGTTCTGAGAGACCACAATGGGACGTTGATTGTCGCTGCTACTTTAAACTGAGGCAGGCATTGTTGGTGGTCCAGAGTTGGGGTTCAAATATTTAGTTCTGTTTTGAACTCTTACTCTTCACAAACTTTGACTAAGAGCATCTCCAACCCAATGTTATTTGGGCTGCTATTTGTAAAATATAGCAGATGGGCTTCAAATGGGCTCTCCAATGGAATGTTATTTAGGCCGCCAATTTTAACCTTTGCCAATTGTTTTGCCAATTCTAGCACAAGAAATGATATTTCGTTCAACACAGAGAGAGAGAGAAGAGAACAGCCGCATCCCGATCATTTTGTTTCGTCCTCAGCCCTGCCCTCCTCTCTCCCTCTTTCTCTCTCCTACACAACACACACTCTCCTCAAACCATAGACAACTCGCCTACACCAGAGCCACTCCTCCGTCGCTTTGAAACTGTAGAAGGAAGCTATTTCTAGGGTTTGTTGAAAGCTGATCGCGTTCGTTTGCAGATTGTTTTCTCCATTACAAATTTGATATCTGTAAGTCTTGTGGCGTTATGATTTTTTTTGTTGAATGGAAAGCCCCATGTTAAGAGAGTGAAAAAAATGAAATTCCAAGATCTCAGAAGATCGCCTTTGAATTTTCTCGTCTCAAGTTTCTCATTTTCTTTTTCTCGGTTCCCAATCAAATCAAAACTCAATTTTTACATATATATTTATATATACACTTCATTTGTGTGTGTCTCAGAATCATCTTTAATTTCTTATTTATATACCAAATGATTTTTTTTTTTCACTTTCCTAAGTTTTTTCCGACGACGGTTGCAATGCTGTAGCCGGCCTCCACTGGGACGAATGATCATCCCATATTCGATTTTTAATTTTTTTTTTTTTTCCCTTTAATTTTTGTTCGCAAGGCTTAATTTTGAGAATTTTGAAAAATTCATTCAATTGTTTATTGTTATCATTTTGGGTTTAATTGAGATGCTAACCCAATTGGGAATTTAGCAAAATTTATTCAATTATTTACTGTTCAGTTGTATATTTCCCCAGAGTTTATGGACTGGGGTTTTTGAAGTGTTTAGCTGGAATTGGAGTCTTTGTTAAGCAATTCAACCAGGAATATATTAGGTTCTTGTTAGATTTGTTGTTTATACTCGTTTTATGTATTTTGTCCAATGAATTTCAATTTCATTCTAAAATCCGGCATGGGCTTTGTATTTGGGATCCAGATTTCTCTCTCTGTGCATATGTTTTGTGTTGATTTGATTTCCATGTGTGTGTATATGTATTTTGCAGTCTTCAATTCAATTTCAGTGTTGATTGGCTTTCTTTTTTTCCCATCAAATAAATGGAACTATTTCGAAATTCATTTTTCTCATCTTTTTTACATTTACACTTTCTCAATTTCAGTGTTGTTGCTGTTGTTAGAAATAATTTCATAATCTGAGATTAAAAATAAATAAAAAGTGTGTTTGATGATATTAGAGCGTCAGTGTTGATGCTCCGTGTGAAGAAGAGGTGGGATATATGAGTCTGTTTGCAGCAAGCCCCCATGTTACTTAAATATAGGTTCTACTTGGTAATGTAGTGTTGGGATGGAATGTCCTGTTGTAATGATGTTTTTGCCCCATAACCATCTTTCTAGTGTAAATTTTAATCTCTAAATTAAAGCAAAATTTTTTATAGCAATGTTTAAGTGACAAGTTCATCACAAATAATTAGTCACAGGATAGGGGGCTATATAGTCAGGAATTGATAGTTTGATATATTGCAAAGTTATCTCTACCTTTTTAGGCCACCTTCCAATTGTACAACTCTAGTATTAGATTCAATATTTCCATGGTTCGTGTTAGAAGTGTTTCAAGTGTTTATTAAATATAGGTTCTACTTGGTAATGTAGTGGTCGGAATGGTAGTTGAAAAAGAATAGTGGTTGTGTCAAAAAATAGCATTTTTCATTAAATGCACGATTGGAGCAGAGTTGTTAAAATGTAGCATTTTGACACTGTAGCACCTGTCAAAATATAGATTTGGCATGCGAAAATGGCTTTTAGCATTGGAGATGCTCTAAGAACCGGCACGAGTGGCCCAGTGAATAAACGGGTCTTCTGGATGAACCATAAATTCGGATACCTTGGGTTCAACTCTCACAAAGTGCTTTGTACCATAGGTCACCTAGGTTAGAAGGGTACCCCGTTGGAAAAATTATTATAATTATTTTATAATTTTATATTTCTGGCTCCGTCCGGAATGAAAATTTCTGGCTCCATCCCGAATTTGCTCTCTAATGCAGATCTACCAGAAAGTAGGCTATAGGATTGCAATGGCAATGAGTACTAATTAAAGACATTTTGGCTAGTTGAATTCTTTTAAGAATGCCTGCAGAAGGTTGGTCAATGTAGTGAATGTGAGGACTTGAAGTGAAGATGGAATGGTGAATTGGTGCAGTATTTATTTCTCCTACATTAATTACTTTTTATTCACTGTGGTAATGCCAGAGCCAGCAGTGGTTAGGGCACTAAATTTGGAGAGAGAGAGAGAGAGTACATTATATTGAAAACACAGAGCTACCAATTATATACACCTGAGAGACATTTCAAATTACTTTAAATTTCAGCCTAATTTAAGCTACAAATGCAGCATAAACCAAACAACCCTTTATCCTCCCCTCCCCAGGGAGGTTGAGCGTTCAAGTCCTCCTGATGGCAATATTGTGCTCGTGTGTATTTGATTCAACATCCGAGATAGAAAAGAGAAAAAAAACCCACACCCACACCCACAGATGCATGATATTATTTGTAATGACAACACATTAGAACAAAGACAATATAGCAGGAGAAAAGGAAATAAATCACAAGAGAGAGAGAGGAAACTACAATAGTCCCATTCAAAATAACAATAATAATCTCTCAGTACAAAAGGCTCCTCTCGAAAATCTCACAAAGAATCCAACTGAATGTGTAGTAGTAGTCCAAATACAGCCAAGTAATATATGTAGTCAAAAGTAAATAAGTAAATAACACATGAAATATGGCCAGGAGGCAATGTGAGAGGGAAATCTCTCTAGAGTAGCAAACAGAGGACACCCCATCCGAAGATCAAGCTCCCGATCATCTTTTGCATGGACAACATCATTTCTGCTCCGCTCTGCAAAAGTGTGAATTTCATAGTTAGAGACAAGGATGTGGCAACAACACCGAGAGCACAAACATTTTGACATCAAAATCATAAAAATGTGGTAGGGGATCGAGAAGAGAGAGGACTTCGTGTTGCTTTTCCTCTTTCGATAAACAATTAGGGTTTGGAACCAACGGATACTCCCCATAATGGTAACCTGATTTACCCCTAGATCAAGAAGCATGTATTATGTTGCAATGTTTAGTGCAAATAGCTTAAACCATTCACAAAATGGCAGAACAAATCCGCAATACTCTGATCATCATGCCACATTATATGCAGTAGTATGATCATTTAATGTTAAGCCAAAACCAGATCAAATAAAGGTAAGCCAAAACCGGACTAGCAAATGCATGCTCCAGTGTTGTTGATCAGTTGCCCTTCCCCTATTTGGGCATGAATTTGGTGCAAGAGCATCTAGTATGCACTAAAACATATCATAATATGATGATCTGTATCAACTTCAACCTAAAATTTAATGGATCATATACCATTTACAAAAAAATTCATGTAATGATGTGAAACCAAATTGAGATCACTACTTTAGAATCTATAGGTGAATAGTCAAGACGAATTCTTGAACAATTTTTGCAGGCTTCAAATTTGATATAGATAGCTAAACATCACTCTCTTTCATACTTCACACATCATGAAGGATTGGTAACTTACTACTAAATTGGTTTGTAGAGTTTGATTATACAACCATATGTGAATCCTACCGATACAAGCATTCCATTTTTTCTTTTCCATTGACAAGAAACCACACACACCGCACTTTGCCCCTTTGGGGACCAATTTGCCCTTTTGACTAGTTTTAACTTTTAAGTCTAGAGTTACATGTTACACCATGAAACTTGACTAGTTTATGAAACAAATTACTTGGTGGTTCTATAATCAATATTGTGTTGCCTATCAAGATTGTTAAATGTCAAACATTGTAAACACGAATTGGCACTCCTACCCGGATCAACGATAACTCACTGGTGTATCAATGATAACATTATTATGTCACAGTCAATAATAAAAAGTAAAAATTGACAGTTATTTGGCGATACACTCGTGAAAATCTGAGTGCATTGGAGAGAATCCAAGTCGGATACACCTAGGGCTTTTCAGAATTTCATTTCTTTTCGAAAGTTCAACACGGACTATTATTACCTAAGCTCGACTCGAACACAAGAGTGTTATATTGCGTTGGACGACTTCCAATACACACGTGTGCCAGATCACAGGTACCCTACCCTTTATCTTCTCAATGTTACCCCCAACCACAAAATCACCATATCCGACCCCATCGTACAGTCGCTAGCTGGCTGGGACCGAACCCGGACAACGTTAGGTACTTATCCATCGTAATATCATATTGCCTAGTCTTTTACTATTTTCTTTTTCCCATTGCCCTGACATGAGCATCACATTGGCTCAGCAAGACCGATCACCCTGTGCCACGTGTCTATCTGAAAAGTCAATTAACCAGATTTTTGGAACCCACAAAGCTCACGTGAACACGGTCTCACCAGATCACAACTGGACCTAGTGAGCGCAAGACCCGAAAACGAGAATATAGGGGCCAACTAGCACGCACGAAGCACGGGTGGCCGTTGACGTTAGCAAATCAAAGCGGATCTAAACTATCATACGCATCGTGCTCATTTTACACCTTAACGACATCGTCAGTTGGACTTAGTTGAGTGAAGTGAGTTCATGATCTGTAACTCTAAACACAATGCGAGTAGCTAAAATGGGCAGATCTGCACAGATCGGGTGGCGCATTGTAGTATGTGCGCACGATAGAGAAGATCAATCGAGGAAATGACAGAAAACACTAACCTGATCGGAAGCAGATGGTGCCGGCGAAGTAGTCCCCACCACCAGACTCGGTCCCGGTGCCCCCGTAGGAGGCGAAGGTGGACTCAAAAGCGACGGCGAAGGAGCTATGGGCGTGCTCGGAGTGGGAGCGGTAGTCGGTACCAAAGCAGGAGGAGCAGCGAGAGGAGCAGGTGAGGGAACGGCCGGTGGTGGAGGTGCCGGCATCGGAGGTGGAGGAGACGGCGGAGGAGTAGTCGGTACTGGAGGGGGAACCGCTGGAGGAGGGACAGCCGGAGGAGGAACGGCAGGAGGCGGTGCGCTCACTGGTGGCGGCGAGCTCACTGGTGGTGGTGAGCTCACTGGCGGCGGCGTAGCAGCAGGAGGAGTGGAGACCGGCGCTGGAGGCGTGGGAGTTGGAGGAGCGGTTGTGGGTGGTGGAGTTGTGGTGGTGGTTGGAGGAGAGGCTGTCGGTGTAGTCGGAGTCGGAGGTGCCGGAGTTGCAGTAGGAGATGTCGCCGGACCTTGACCTCCGACGCCGGCGACGACAATGCAGATAAAACCTATCATAAACGCAGCTTGACGATCCATCGTGACTCCCACCTTAACCTGCGCACTCTCTCCCACCTTAACCTGCGCACTGCAAGGTAGAGAGCGAAAGAGAGTGTTTTAGAGAGAGAGAGTGTGTGTGTGTGATCGAGCGGCTGAGAGATAGAGAAACAAAAGGACTGTATAAATAGGCTGCCTGAGTTTCTATTACTGGCTAGAGACCCAAGTCTTGGAAATGCGTTAATGTTGTGTACTCCAAGTGATCCACAGTGTTCTGTAGCGTCCGATCAAGTGGACCCCACTGATTCGTGCGATCAGACTGTAGATCTGATTGCCACGTCATCGGAAGCAACATATAATGTTGGTGCAGTTTTAACTGTAGTAATTTATCTAGGGTTGTTCTTACGTTTGCAAATTGCTTTCAAACCATCTGGTCCAGGTGAGAAACGGGTCGGTTAATTTGGAGTTGTCACAACTCACAAGTCAACTACTGGATTAGATGGGTTATGTCTAGAATATTGGTCCTGAAATTTTTAAATGGTTTTTTGTTTAAATATGGAAAAAGTGAATTTTCCCAAAATAGCTTCAATTTTGTTACATGTGAACAATTTAATAGATAATATCTTAATCTTATTTGGTTAATGAGATGTGTTTGAGTGAATTTTTATGGTCCTATAGATTAACTAGATTCACCAAAATATATTAGAAATAACACACATTCATTTTTTTTTGGTTAATTCTTATATAGTGTTTCCAATATAGATTAGGTACTTTGAATATAAAATTGAATTGAATTTAATTTAAATTCTGAACTAAAATTTTAATAATTTTATATTTAAAATGTTGATTGAGTATCGTAAAAAACCAAAACATTAGTGGATTTTGGCGAATGATTACTCTACTTTTGAAACTTAAAATGAATCTTATTCACTAGTGAATTAATAAAATGTTTCTAAACAAGTTAGTCTTTAATTTATGTTATGCAGTTAATTGGTTAATGAAATATTTGAACACTTTGGAGTGAGTTTTTAAGGTGAGATGGATTAATTAGATCCACCAAAATATATTAGAAAAAATACACATTAATTTAACCTCAGGAAACCTCAGGAATAACTGTTTTGAAATTGAAATTGAAATTAAAATAAATTTAGTTTAAATTTTGAACTGATTTATTTATTTTTTTATTTTTTAATTCTAAATTCAAGGTTCGATACTATTAAATGTAACATTAGTATATATACTTTTTGTGACGGTTATTTTACTTTTGTAAGATAAAAGAATCTTATTTGCTTGTGAATTAATTAATAAAATGTCTCCAAATAAATTTGTCTCGAATTTATGTTCAGTTAAATAAACACAATGTCCACATTGAGGAATAATATTAAGGGGAAAATGAATTAACGTGGATAAAATTAGTAATAAATAATATGACGTTTGGTTCAAGAGTTATGATCTTAGATAAAACATAATAGAAATATAAGATTCGTGTAGCCAATTTTAAATAATTGTAAAACAAATTGGAATTCATGTTTAAATTTGTAACTAATAACAATTGAATGTTATTTTTGTTTATGTTAAACGATAAGAGAAATATCTAAATAGAAATTTAAACTTGGATATTATTTTATTCATTTCAAACTCAAATTTATTAACTATAAATTAAAGTATTATTACATTTAAACAATTAAATTCACATTCAATCTCAAATATATAAAAATAAAAATGAAGAATTTATTACTCTCTTATGCATGTAGAAGACTTTTGATTTCGCAATTGTAATGACATAAAGAGTTGAAATGAAAAGGATGAGATGATTGGTGATGGGGTCCACAAAATGTTGATGTAGGAGTTTTACAGTTGTATAGTACTAATTAAACTTGATGAAGGAAGAGGACTTATTAGGAAGCATTATGATAAAAACAAAAAAAAGCAGAAACATGCATATCGACGACATAGTATTGGAATACAAGGAAGGAAGCATGTGTGGTGGGCCATATGGCAGCTGTTGATTGGCGCTAAGTTTGGCGGTGATCAACCAAAATTTAGTTGGTTTTTTAGTAACATCGCCAATGCGTGTGGGACCTACATTCTTGTGATGCGTGCCTTGTAGGTAAAATCCTTGAGTAATTTTTGTTTTTGTTTTTGTTTTTTGTAAAAAGAATTTCAACCAAAAGAAAAAAATAATCTATTATTGCATTCAAAAAAGTATTTTAATACTACTAAAATATCAATGACATAGTATTATTACTTACGAATTAAATACCAAAATATATTGATAATATCCACTAAAATAAATATATTTTTACTTACACAACAAAATATAATTAATTGATTATTAAAGGCTTTGATAGTATTTATTTGTTGTAAGATTTTTGAAAGTAAAAATATAAAAATATATTTGGTAAAAAAGTGTTGTAAGTTTAAAAAATATAATGGTTAATTTAAAAATGTCATTCAAGAATTTTTTTAAAATAAATAAATAAATAAATAAATTTTGTTTATTGTACTCGCTGATATAATGTTGAAATATGTAAAAATATCAAATTAGTATTTCAATTTTTGGCCACTATTCAAGAAAACGTTTTTATACTGTGCAAAATAAAATAATTTTTTACCAAACATATTTTTTGCACTATTCACTATTACAGTACTCGACAAAAACAAAAACATCAAAAACAAAACGCGTACTAAATAGACCCTAAAATTTTTCTTGACATGTTCACAACGAACTTGTACTCTTATTTATTAAATCTATTGGACAATGAGTTATTCAAATGAAAAATGATTAAAATATTGATCAATTTTTAAAACTGATTGAAGTGTAAGTACTGATTGAAGCATATGAGATAACATTTGGTTAAGGGATTATTACATATTAATAGTGCTAATGACCCATATTTATCATTTGATACAGTTAAAGTCTTATAGTTTCAAAAAAATAAAGACATGAAAAAACACTGTATATCATCACATAGGTATCATATTTAGACACATTGGTACCTGATGCACAAAAAGTGATACTTATGTGAATAAAAATTAGTATCTCTATGCGAAAAACAAAAGTGGCACCTGATGTACAAAAAGTGGTACATGTGTGCCAAAAAAGTGGTTCCTGTATGAGAGTAAACAGTATTTTTTCATGTCCACATCAATATTTTGGTCAACTTTATTTTTTTTAAAATTATGAGACTTTGACTACATCAAATGGTAAATATGAACTAGTAACAACATTTATATGCAATAATCTCTTTAGTTTATTAATTATCATGTAAGAGTTTATATTTGGACACTACTTACTAGAGTCGCCAAAAAATAGATTCGGGTATCGTAGCATTAATCGGTACCATTTTTCATATTCAAAAGTAAAATAAGTAAAAGAAAGAAAAGAAAAGAAAAGGGAAAACCTTTTTAATTATGTGACGATTTTATCAAGAATTTATTGAATTAACTCATGTGGTGTTAGTTGATGATAATCAAATTACATGATTACAATTGAGGAGGGACAATTTTTTTTACCTAGACCACTAATTCACATTGTCAACTTAGAAGTAAAAGGAATGGAATGAGAAACATCCTCTCTCTCTACATTTTTTATTTTTTATTTTATAAAAAAAACAAATTTGATTAAAAAGGTTGTTATAATCATAATGTTCAACACACCCTTTTCCCCATTTAATCATCATTCTTAACAAACAAAGGATTAAACAAATTTAAAAATTTGTAACCAACCTAAGTATTTAATTTTAAAGAATTGAAATGAAAAGAGTGGCAATGAGTTCCACTATGGTAGTTAGTTGTACCACAGCCTTTTTTTTGGTGGGCCCTAAATTAGTAATAACAGGGATTGATAATTAGGCTGGGCAGACTTGTCTTTATCTGATTGGCTAACATGAAAAGTAAAAAGTGGTATGACCCATCAGACTTTGCTTGCAAACCAATTCAGCTTCCATTGTCCACTTGACATTAGCTTCAATTACTATATATCACTTTTTCTATGTCTTAGTCTGAGCTAATTGGAGATTAATTATGTTTGCTAGTGAGCCTAAAAGAAGAGGACAATATATGGAGATGGATTATCTCTTTTACTTTTATTTATTTATTTATTTATTTTATATTTCGTGATGCTTTAATTATATGACTCAGAATACATCACAACAATAAATTACTCACTTACTTGATAAAAGACAAATTGATGTAGCGTATTTTGAATCATAAAATCAAGGATCATGAATATAAAAAGAAAAGTAATCCAAAGGATCTAAATCTGAAGTAGATAATATGGTATTATAGATTTTAAATGAGTTGAATTAAGCTAAGCATGTTAGTTGAGCTAGAAAAAAATTTTGAATTCTAATATGCATTCAAGCTTTTTATTTATTTATTTATTTTTACGAGGTGATTATTAGTTTTATTTGATGCTTGTTAGGTTGTCTAATTGATCTAAAATTAAGCCTGACCAATTAATAATTTTTAAAATATACCCAAGTTCAAATAATATGATCTCTTTTTTTAAAAGTAGATGTTGACTGTTTGTACTCTCTAAAAGAGAAGTTGAATATTCGTGTTCTCTTAGAAGTAATATTATGATATGTGTGTTTGTTTGAATTTTTAAAAATAGAAAAGATAAGAAAAGTTATCTTTGCGAAACAATTTTGTAATTTGATTTATTAAACCAGCGGGACAAATTTGAATATCGTATCTCATTTATATTTTAGGATTTAGTTTCCAGCAAATACATATGATGGTTGTCTGAAAACCAAATCAGTTCTATTTCTAAAATTCACAAATATAAAATAATTTTCTCTTATCGTATCAATAAAATACATAGAAACATTATTTATTAAAATTACAAAAACATTATTTACTTGAAATGTTTTACAAGACTTGCATGCTTTAGTGAGATTTCACCCATATTTATAGGTCAAGAATTACATAATGATACTGGTCATCAAATAATCTGGAGAAATCTAGAAAGTGTACTATAACCCTTTCAAAGAATATCTTAAGATATCACAATACAATACAATACAATGCAATGCTAGATTAGTGTAGAGAATTCTAAATTAATATTATAATACTTGCAAGTCTCTACAACTCTAGATCACTCTGTACAAGGTAGAGAAGTTTGGAATATTCTGGCCATGAGTTAGGACGTGGCATAACCTTTCATTATCTATCATGATTATGATTTGTTGTATAGTTCGCTACGCGACGTATTTAGCAATATATTATTATTTTTCAAGTTTGATATGCAACTTGTATAAGTTAATTTATATTAATTTTATTCAAATTTATTACACCACGATAATGATCGAGACCGCGTGATCAGGACATGTTGCAATGGTTGGTCTTTATGTTGGTGGGAGACTTAGAGTCAATTGTTGGGCATTTTTATTCAAATAAAAATAAAAAATAATATATATATATATATATATATATATATATATATTATTGGGCAAAATAAATACCGAAATGTATGAAAAGCGTGATGCAAACTATTATGGGGCAAGCAAAAGGGTGGTGTACTCAATTTCCTAACAGCGTAGAGTAAAAGCGATGGGGGCATATTGATATTGATATTGATATTGATGTTGGTTCAACAGTCATGCTATTATGCAACATGAATAGTTCAACAGTCCTACTAGGTAATATATATATATATATAAATGATGATGTTACTTGTTACCATCCTGCTGTTGGCCTATTTCTTTCTTGTGATTCTTATGGACCTCACCTCCTCCACTTTAACTTGCATGAGCCAGACCTAATAGTTTCCTTCACAATCAACAGCTGATTGTGTGTGAAATCTAATAATCTGTCCTCTGCATCCAAACTCATCAATCAATTATCCTAAGCTCACGCATGTCACTGTTTATGATTCCGATGGGCTTGAGACGTTTAATTTGTACTTAATTAAAGATGATATAACTTCAAATGTGAGGTGAGGAGTTTGAGCATGGTAGTGAGAATCACCTCAAATGAATTTAACAAACTATTATGTTATCTTGGGTCACAACAAGTTTAGCAGTCTATTAAGAATTTGATAAACATATTATTATTATTTTTTTAATTGGTACTCACACATACACGCCTCCACTGAGACTCAAATTTCTAACCTCCTTTCGGTAGGGATATGGTATCGCTAGACCACTGATCTATTGGTAACCATTAAAATCTGGAGTTAAAACTTTCTGTTTGATTTTAATCAGATCCATTCATTTTCTAGATATTTTCACATAAAAAAAAATTAGTTACAGCATAAATATTTCATCCTTAATTTAGAACATTAATTGTGATTAAGAAAACACAATTTTCAAATGGAACTAAAATTTTCAAAAATAGCTTGTATATCATAAAAAATTATATGCAACACTTTCATTAGATCGAATTATTAGAGATGTTAGTGCTTGGATTGAATTTGAAACCAATTCCCACCTAATGAAAAGTCTTGATTATGTACGGCTACATTAAATTAAAATCTTGGAATTAGATATGAAATTGGAATTGAAATTAAAGTTAAAATTAAAAAAAACTTAGTTCAATTTTAACAAAACCTTTCTCTCATTCTTGGAATGCATAGCAAAACCAATATTAAAGGGCATCAATAGATGATTGTGTGTGAAATCAAATAATCTGCCTTCTGCATCTAAATTCATCAATCAATTATTCCAAGATCGCACATGTCACTGTTTATGATTCCGATGGGTAGAGACGTTTAATTCACCTTAATTCAAGATGGTATGGCCTCGAATGTGAGATGAGGAATTCGAGCTCAATAATGAGAATAACTTCAAATAAACATATGCATTTGATAAACTATTACATCTTCTCGTATCGCAACAAGTTTAACAGCCTATTAAGAATTCAATAAACTGTTAAAATCTCTGAGTTGAAGCTTTTTGTCTAGTTTTAATCGGATCCATCATTTTCAAAATATTTTCACATAAAAAAAATTTAGCTCCATTTTCAATGTTTCATCCTTAATTTAGAACATTAATTGTGATTAAGAAAACACATATTTCATGTGGAACTAAATTTTCCAGAAATAATTTGTGTAATTTTCTAAAATTTATAGTGACAAATATGATGCTCATGAGAGGTGAATGTAATCAATAAGAATGGATTTAATATAAATAATTTAAAAAAAAATAAAAATAAAAAAGGAAAAAAAGTTTATGAACATGCATAAGAATATATAATGTCTTAGACCACGTGTAAATGACTAAATGAAGAATTTATTTTACATATTTCAGTATAATTTTCTCCAGAGTTGGTGCTATGCTATTTTCAATATTTGTAGACATATGAACCATTTTCCAACTGACTGATTGACTTGTGATCTTATTTACTAAAGAGAATTAATTGTCCAATGAAAATAATTTTCCTAACCTTCTAATGGAGATTTTAGGAGCTTGATATACACATATATATATATGTGTGTGTGTGTAATTATATGTATATATTTTCCTCTTTGTTGTTGTTATTGTTGAATATATGAGTTTAGCATGTTTTACTCGCATTGCCCATTTTAATTCTTGTTGCTAAGAGATTAGATGAGCCATCAAGTGGAGGATGTGAATCAAAATGTTGATAGAAGTAGCTTTCTTACTATACATGATCTTTTATTTCATGTCCCTTGACAGAGACTCTATAATTAAACCTTCCTTGAAGATGATTAATTTTGGGTGAAGGAAGATGAAAAGACAAAAGGAAAGGAGAGGAAGAACTGTCTTCTATAGTAAGTGTGGTATAGAATGTGATATGTACAATGTCTCATGACGCTTATGGAACATATTATATTATTTACGTAATGTAATATATAGATATACTGTCTTCTATAGTAAGTGTGGCATAGAATGTGTGATGTACAATATCTCATGATGCTTACTGAACATAATATAATATATATATCGATTACATAACATGCCATGTAAAGTTATTGTAATGACAGCATGGCACAAAACATTTTGTGTCACCGGAGTGGATCCAGCCTCGAGGTTCCTTGTATGATTGTATGTGTTTCAAAAGCGAGGGAGATTATTAGAAGGGAGAATGAGGAAAATTCCAATTACTTAAATGTTATGTTTGGGAGCATTAATTTGGTGCCATACAAAATTTTAAAGATCCTTTCTAAAGTGGTTGGACTTCGAAATGATAAAAAAAATTAGTGATTGCAATTTTTTTTTAAACAAAAGAATTCTTATGCTGTTTTTTTCCTCATAGAATCAAACAATTCATTTCTTTCTTTTCCCCGCGACCAAATGTTAATGTTATTCTTACTTTTTTATTATTGAAATTGTATACTGTTGTGTTTGGAAGTACCTAATTATTGCCTTAGGATTGGAATCGAAGAAAATTCAGTTTAAACTATAACTTAAATTTGGTTTAATTCAATATTCAAATTACCGATTCAATACTTCCAAACATAGTATGTTTTTGTTATGACTATGTTGGACTGTATATAATTAGAGCATTGAAATTAAAATTGAAATTGGTGAAATTTGAAAAAATTTTGGTTCAATTTTCTGTAACTTTATACCGAATTTATTTTAATTTCAAGACTCCAATTCATGCAACAAGACATAAGCTATGAAAAATTGATATTTGCTGGCAACACCAACTCTAATGTACCCTTGAGCAAGTATTGCTATCTGGCTTCGAGCATCAATAAGATATTTGTGGGTAGAGTGGGGAAGAGTGAGGGACAGAGAAAGAGAAAGATGCCTGTTGCTTTGATGATACCAAACTAGTTTGATGTTCCGTACCTTGAATGAATAAGATGTTTAAATTGTATGGTTCAGGTTCAGATTTTCGTCACGTGGAACTATTAAAAAGCAACACGTGGCATTTACCTTATTACGTCATAAAGTATCAATAATTATCAAGTCAAAAAATAGAAAAATCCCCCACCTCTTGATCCCATGTTTTTGTATCCTCACTTCCCCAATCAATGATTCTTAGGATCATCCAAGTAAAATAAGTCATGGATCTCAATTATATTGTTCATCAATGTTGATAACATCAATTTATTAACTTCATCGTTTTTCGCTTCATCGCTGTTGGTTTGAGATTGACTCCTTGATTGTTTGTAAGGCTGTTCTGGATGCCGATGTTTGTTCAGTCAATATGGCGGCTATTATTCATAATATTCAGTGTGCACTTCAGAAAGTTCCCTCGTTTCGACTTAGTCATGTGCGTAGACATGGCAACGAGGTAATCCATATGCTTGCTAAACTTTCTCGAAGTCATCTTCACGAGGACATTCTTCTTTCTCATATTCCATTGGATATACTCCATCGTGCTCAGTTTGATTTACAGTGATTTTGGAAGCTTTTGGTGTTTATGATGTTTGCCAAAAAAAAAAAAAAAAAAAAAAAAATCAGTTTGCAAGTTACCTCTGAGTTAATTTGCACTCTTTCACCTACGGTTGTATAGGCTAGTGATAATTCTCATAGGTAAGAATATCAATATAACGTCCTGTCACGCCCTATTGAGACTAGTTTGAGATCATCTTAATTGGGTTAAGGTATTTGGAAAAAGAATGTAAAATTCGCAAAGCCGCGACCCTGCCCGGACCTTCCGAATCAAGTTTGGGAACAAAAATTTATTGGTGGGACAAGTTTGGGAAAGGGGGTCCATCCCAAACCCACCCAATGAGGTCATTGCCAATGAAGAACGAACGAAAGAAAGAAAGAAAGGACTCATTTATTCATAGCAGTCTTGCGTGACAATGTGTAGCATTTAGTTTCGGCCCAAGAATGGACTGAAATTGTCACAAAATTTGAACCAAGACCAAATTTCAAACCCATCATTGATCCGATTCATCTCAAACCCTAGGAGGGCGTTTCGGTCAATTCACACGGAAAAGTTAAATGAGACATCAAAGGATTATTAAGGCGGGTTCACACTTCACAGTTTGCAACTCTTATCCACACACTACCCAATTTCTAGAGAGAGAAAGCAACACCACCATCTCTACGAAGGCCTCAAATGGCGATTTCTTTGGGGGTTTTCTCTACCTTCTTGGTCGACGACACGGCGTTGTTCTCCAAGTCGTCGTCTTCGTCTCTGCGGCTTGTCGGAGCTCCAGTTGCTTCTCCTGCTCGTGTTAGCATGCGCACAGTGCGCATGGTTACCTATGCCACCGCGTCGAAGCCGGCGACTGTTCCCGGGAAGCGGGAGCCGAGAGGAATCATGAAGCCCCGCCGTGTGTCGCCGGAAATGCAAGCGTTCCTCGGCGGCGTCCCTGAGATCCCTCGCACCCAAGCCCTCAAGCAGATTTGGGCTTACATCAAACAGGAAAACCTTCAGGTATTTTTCTGTATTTATGCATTTCGCAGTTCTTCTATTTGCTTTTGAAGCCCTAATATTTCTCTGTCAAGCTAGAGTTGGTTATATATTTGGAGTAATTTGTTATTATGGGACTAGTGAGTTTTTATATATGGTTTTTTATTTCTGGATGTTGAACAACTAAAACCCTAATGTAGCTTGATGATGAAACTTGGGATTTTTTTTTAACTCCTTTGTATTACAGACAATCTTAAGCTTATCAAGCCCTGCTATTTTGTTGTAAAACGTTCGGCTGAGGGTTTTGGATTGGTTTTTGTTACTTGTTTCATCTGGATAAGGTTCTATTGGTCTAGATAAACGGGGTTGTTGTTAATGTGGATGAATTTATTAAACATTACCTTTGGGCATATTCTTATATTATGGTTAAATTATGTTGGTAACTTGGTGTAGGTAGAATTCTGGTCTCATTGCTACTGGAATTATAAGCTTTTGGATATTTTTGTGAAGGATAAACTGAAAGAACAAAAAGTGCCACGTTGAGAATGAGAACCTAAAAGAAAGCAAAAAAAAAAAAAAAAAAATTGAAAAAGAAAAAGAGAAAGGGTTCTTTGATGACTATATATTTAGAGGTATTTTTGTTATGAATGAAATGCAGGTTTACTTGTTGGTATGTCAGAGTTCCGTTCCGTCTAGTGTTTGGGTGGATGTATGTGTGATACTTGGATTTTCTAAGTTTAGTGAAGTTGCTTGCTTTTTGCAAAAAGGGGTTTTAAATTTAATTGTTGGCACTTTCCTTTTTTTAGCAGATGCATAGGCTTAGAATTATGTAGAAAAGTTATAGCACATAAAGGATTTAGCATATGGAGCAAGATTAAACATGACAAATTGCAACTTGAGACTTTAGTTAAACCAGGAGTACTTTTGTGTGGATAGTGGAAGTTGATGTACAAGAAACATTGAGGAAGTTAAAATTTGTTCTTATCTTTGATTGACTAATTATGATTTAGTGGCAGTTTATGGTGCTGTCATCCATATGTGAGAGCAGGATGAAGTGGAGACATGTTTTTTCCGTGCTTGATGAATTTATAATGGTAATTAAATAAAAGTACATTCTTAAAAGTGGCTCTTATTCCAAATAGGTATGTACCTAGTCTGCACTTTCACCACCATCGATTAATGGGACCAAGTTAGGTAGGGCTTTTTATGATTCCAAGTAGGATTTTCACACAATGTTGGCAGTCAAGGACCATGCTTCATTTTTAGAAGAAAAAACATGGATGAATTATGAAAATTTTGTGAGTTTCTGTTCATTTATCATGATTCTAGTGGTTGTAGTTGCCCAGTGCTTTCTATGAGTCGAGTTTAGCGATTTTTATTGTTTTGCAGCACCATAAAGCATTCCTTGAGTTGCAGTACTGGGGGCTTTATGGGTTGAATGACTTGAGTGGCACAATTTGTTTAAAACAGTCATTTTTATAAAAATTATTTAGAACTAAAGTTTGTTGTGCCTTGCATTTATAGTATATTTTTTTCAAAAAAATAAAATAAAACCTCTTTACTCTATGATTTAGTTGATTATTGGATTATTTCACATATGCGTATAACCACGGGATTATTTCGCTGTTTGCATGGCATGCAAACTGTAGGTAGTATTATGGGTTGAGTATGGTGGCTGTCACAGACTTACAATACTAATTTGTCCGAGGCTGCAAGCCTGCAACCGTGCTGGCAAAGCTCCATTGATTGTAAACTGATATTGCATGTGCACATAAATGCACTCAATTATGATTCACATATCTGAACCATTTGTAGTGCACACGAATGTGAATTTAAATTTGAGGGCTGTCATTTTATACATAGAATGACAAATGTTAGGTCTATACTCTATAACTAGTCTACCTCTTTCAGCATTTCAATTATGGGGACTTGGGTAATACTCTTTCATTTCTAAATCTCTTTGCAATATAGTTTCTATTTGGAATAATTTTATTGAAAGAGTTGGGTGTGATGCTAATGCTTTATTATCTATAGCTTATAATAAATTTCTTTCCATACCTACATCTACATATCATTGCTTGTGAAAGCAAAATCTATTCATAATTTCATATTCTTTGGGATTGCTTGGTTTGATAAGGAATTAAGCTTCTCCTGTTATTATGTTGCTTTCATATGCAATTACCTAGCAAATAAACCTCAATTCTTTTAAGAGATTATTGAAGTTGCATGCATGTTGACGGGATGCTTTAGTAATTATTGCTGCGGCCAAATGCTTAGCTACCTTATGCATAAAATTTTGGTCAATATAGCTTATTAATAAAATTAGTGGGACTGGATTTATCCCACAAGTTAGCTGTTGTTCACTTCTTCATAGTTAAACAAAGTTGACTAGAGGGTTAATGAGTTTTGTAATTCAACTGGTGTTCAGTTAGGTTGATATTTCAAATCTGTTACTTCTGGATTGGTAGGAAGGCTGGTTGTACATATAACTCATGAGGAAAGTTTAATTCAAAGGTTACTTCGCAGCAGGTTGTCAAAGATACTAAATGTAATTTTTTTAATATATAAAGTTTTCACAAATCGAAACTATATTGGTGTGGCGAACTGTAACTAGATAACCAAGATGTTATAATGAATCTCGAATAAAACCTTATATGCAAATGAAGCCTTATATGCAAATGATGTGGGAAGGAAACCTAGTGTTCCATTGTAGAAAAATCAGCTTTAATTTTGCAATAGACAATAGTCAAAGAGGATCATGCTTTAGTAGATGAAGGTTCCAGTGTTACAATGGATCATCCACCTGTCACACAGGAAGGTTTAATTGAACGAGTTGATTTCAACATTTTTGTGTATTGATCATTGTATCCTGATGTCTTTTTTTTTTTTTTCAACTGATGGAAACTCTGAAAATCTGAACAATGTAAACAACCAGAACTCTCTACTTATAGGATACCGGTGATTAACATATTCTTTATATATTATCATTTGATATGACAAATAATAGTGATAGTAAAACTTAGCGGCTGTATTATTTTGAGGTATAAGAGTGTAAAAATTTGCACCATTAATTTCATTGCAACCACAAGTGCCTCTATATCCCAGTGAGGTGATTGACTTCTGCTCTTGTAGGAGCATTTTTGTAAATTTATTAGTGAGGTGAGTAGTGGGAAGGAAGCATGTTTTGGTGCATTTAACTCTTAGTTTGTTAGCTCTGTCAGTTCTATTTGCATAAATGAGATTTATGAAAGGAAAAGGATGTGAATATTGATACCTGACACATAAGAATATTTGATAGGGTGATTAATTGTCACTTAATCCTTTTAAGTGGGAAATAGCTAGTTGACCATTTACAAAATTTATCTTTTCAAATTGACCAGATAAGAGGTGTGCAGCACGAAGAAAAGAGAGAGGCAAAAACAAGAGTGTCCTTTATATCCTGTTTAAGCTGGATGACCGTGTGTCTTTCAATATTAATACTAGACCTTTTTTATGATCTAAATTCTAAACTAAAGTAATAAAGAGCAACTAGCCACTGTGCAGTGGTTGATTTTGGTGAAGAATTCTCACAAATAATTTCTTTATGCCCTGTTGTTGCTCTTTGAATGTAATTTTGTGTTTAATCTTTGATCCTTTTATCTGCTTATTAATTGTTCTAGAGGATTATGGTGGTTATGGAAGTTTTTATGTCAGCATTTCCATGTTCTTTTGGGAGCATTCTAGATGGCTAGTTACTTGGATTGTGATCTTTTGACCAGATTTTCCGAACTTATTCCACAGTCAAGCTAGCTGGTGACAATGAACATTTTTTGTCTTTGAGATGTGAGGGTGCACGTGCTCTTAATTTCCTTTTGAATCAATGTATAGATCATGTAATACTTAGTTCTACATTAATTTATTTGTTGGCAGTTTGGCGCTGACTTTGTTCTTTCTATCCATTTTCAGGACCCTGAAAACAAGAAGATCATAGTGTGCGATGAGAAGCTGAAGAGTATATTTGCGGGGAAGGAGCGTGTTGGGTTTCTTGAGATCGCCGGATTGATCAATCCTCACTTTCTTAAATGAGCAAACTGCAGGAGATGGTTTTAGACTTAATTACCATACAAAAACTGCTATGTATATGAGGGTTTGTGGCTGATAATATTGCTCAGAGAGAGACCAGTAGGGCTTTTGGTAAGGTTTTCAAGTCTGCCTATATCCACAGGCATTGCCCTTTCTGGATTTTGTGGAATAGTTTCCCCTTTTGGGCTTCCTTAATTAATGTGTAGGCTTCCGAATGCAATGTTTTTAGTTCTACTGAATCTGGTGTTTTGTTGTACAGACTCTGCGATGCAAGAATTTATGCCCTAGCTGGTGTTTTATTATTTGATGTTTGCATGCACACCTTATTGGCATGTTTAGAATGGTTGTGATGTCCCATGTTTGGCTTTGCTTCAAATTTCCATCTCAGGACTTGCATGACACCCTTTGAATTGGGATGCTCTCCTAGAAATGCATCGATGGTGTTGAATGTGACGAGTAAGAATGTATCATTGTTGTCTTTTTTTATTTATTTTATTTTTTTAATCAAATTTTCATTTGGGTTATCATTATAGATAGAATGTTTAAAAATTGCATTAAATATTGAAACTATTTATACTTGATCTGCAACCAGGTAACTGAAATTTGTGGGATCAATAATGTTCCTTCCTATTAGAATTAGGAGGACTCAAAAGTTATATTCTTTATTATTTTTGTTTTTGAATTTGTCATTATATCAAAAATTAAACTTTTATACTAATTTTTTAAGACAACTATGTCACAAATCATGTAATATTGAATATATCGGAGTTAATATTGTCAGCACCAACTCTATTCATGTCTCAACTATAAAAGTTATCTGTTTTTTTTCTCCAATTCACCAAACATTCCAAAAAATTCAAATATTGATACTCCCTCCGTCCCATACTATTAGTAGTCCATTATTTTATATTTACATGTCCCAAATTACTATTAGTAGTCCATTATTTCATATTTTACATGTCCCAAATTAGTTGTTTTCTTTGAAAAGTCAAACCATATTTTCTTTATATTTATATTATTGTTCTTTATCTTTTTAAAAAATTTCAAATTTAGTAATTATATATATTTAAATTAGAAAGGACAATTTGATAATTTTAAAAAGAGACAATGAATTAATTGCATGTCTCCTTAAAAACTATAATTTTTATAAATGGACCTCTATTATGGGACGGAGGTAGTACTTGTTTTCATTAATATTTTCAAGTAGAAATATTGTAGAATTCATTTGAGATAAAAACAAAATGAAACCCTAGCAAATACCTCCATGGGTCTAAAAAAATGTTGTCTTATTAAAGGTGTTAATGCCAAAAATATATTTGTGGAAGGCAAATAAACAACTCACATGGATTTATCTTAAAATTATAAAAACATCTTTAATAGTTGTGTATATATTTTTATATAAATTTGATGTGTCAAAATAGATAAGTATATATATTTATGGGTAAATCAAATATAACAAATTAAGCCACATCATCTATGAGTACATATTTATTTGAAATGATTATGACCCAACAGAAATAAGGACCAAACCATCCCTCCACTCCTCTTGATATTTTTCCTTCCACTGCCGTCCATGTAACCTAACCTGTCAGATATTTCATTAGCGACTACACTCTACACAATACTGCCATAAGCAAGTTGAGCAAGAAAAACACACGCACTCTCTCTCTCTGTCTACTTTGTTAATGGTAGATAAGATGGGTCTTCCTCTTGTACTACCAAACCCTCCACCTCCAAAACCCTTCTTTCAAGACCACCACCACCACCACCATGCCATACCTCCACAACCACCACCTCCTCCACTCACCCCTCTCTTTCAAGACCTCCTTCCCCAACAAAACTCTCACAATTCCTCACATACCCACAACCCCCAATCCCCTCTCACCCGAACACGGCGTCGCATCGGCAAATCCCGGGACCCCAACAGAGGCAAGCCATGGTCTCACCACCGTCTCTCCCCTGAAGGTCAGCATATTCTCCAAACCCTAGTCGACCCTGATTTTGATATCACTCAGATTGACCAAATATTAAATGAATTCTTCAATTCACGTGAACAACAAGAAGAAGAATCAGAATTGTGTATTGGGTCTCTTTCTTTAGATATTTTGGGTATAATTAAGGGTTTAGGGCATTACAAGAAATGTGACCTGGCTATGAGTGTGTTCGGTTGGGTTCGGAATCGGAATCGGAATGATTCTCGACTTCTGTTGAGTGGGTCTGTTGTTGCTGTAATTATAAACATTCTTGGCAAAGAGGGTCAGGTCTCATCGGCAGCTAATTTGCTTCATAGTCTGCATAAAGATGGTTTTGGTATTGATGTTTATGCTTATACTTCTTTGATAACTGCCTCTGCTAAAAATGGGAAGTATAGGGATGCATTGATGGTTTTCAAGAAAATGGAGGAAGAGGGTTGTAAACCTACATTGATTACATACAATGTGATTCTGAATGTTCATGGGAAAATGGGTATGCCGTGGAATAAGATTATGGCAGTTTTTGAGGGGATGAAGAATTCAGGGGTTGCTCCAGATGCATATACATATAATACTCTAATAAGTTGTTGTCGCCGAGGGGCATTGTATGAAGAAGCTAATCGGGTGGTCAGAGAGATGAAGATAGCGGGTTTTATGCCTGATAAAGTAACTTATAATGCGCTATTGGATGTCTATGGAAAGTCTCGGAGGCCTAAGGAAGCCATGGAAGTTCTGCGGGAGATGGAGATTAATGGGTTTTTGCCTAGCAGCGTGACTTATAATTCATTGATATCGGCTTGTGCTAGGGATGGTTTATTGGAGGAAGCAATTGAGTTTAAAACCCAAATGACGGGGAAAGGGATTAAGCCAGATGTATTTACTTATACAACTCTCTTATCAGGGTTTGAGAAGGCCGGGAAGGATGAGTCTGCAATGAGGGTTTTTGAGGAGATGAGAAGTGTGGGTATTAATCCAAATATATGTACCTTTAATGCTCTTATTAAGATGTATGGTAACAGGGGAAAATTTACGGAAATGATGAAGGTTTTTGAAGAGATCAAGGCATGCGGGTGTGCCCCAGATATTGTTACTTGGAATACACTTCTGGCAGTATTTGGGCAGAATGGATTGGATTCCGAAGTGTCGGGAGTGTTCAAGGAAATGAAGAGAGCGGGATTTGTAGCTGAGAGGGACACTTTTAATACCTTAATTAGCGCCTACAGCCGGTGTGGATCTTTTGAGCAAGCTATGTCTGTTTATAAAAGAATGTTGGATGCAGGGGTCACTCCTGACCTTTCCACCTATAATACTATCTTGGCAGCACTGGCACGGGGAGGGCTTTGGAAGCAGTCTGAGAAAGTACTTTCCGAGATGAAATATGTTCGGTGTAAACCCAATGAGCTGACGTACAGTTCTTTGCTGCATGCTTATGCCAATGGGAAGTCACTCGAACGGATGTGTGCTCTTGCAGAAGAGATATACTCTGGCATAATTGAACCACATGCCGCGCTGTTGAAAACACTTGTTCTAGTTAATAGCAAATGCGACCTTTTATTGGAAACAGAACGGGCTTTCTTGGAGTTGAGAAGAAAAGGTTCCTCTCTTGACATAACTACTTTGAATGCCATGGTTTCGATATATGGACGGAGGCAGATGATTACCAAAGCAAGTGAGATATTGAACTTCATGATTGAGGGTGGGTTTACTCCTAGCCTAACTACTTACAATAGCTTGATGTATATGTACAGCCGCTCTGCAAATTTCGTGAAATCCGAAGATATACTGAGGGATATTTTGGCAAAAGGAATCAAGCCTGATGTAATTTCATACAACACTGTAATTTTTGCTTATTGCAGAAATGGTCGGATGAGAGATGCCTCACGGATATTTGCGGAAATGAGGGATTCTGGTCTTATTCCAGATGTCATCACGTATAATACCTTTGTTGCAAGTTATGCTGCTGATGCAATGTTTGTGGAGGCCATTGATGTGGTTCAATACATGATTAAGCATGGCTGTAAACCAAATGAGAGCACATACAACTCCATCGTAGATTCATATTATAAGCACAATCGGCGGGATGAGGCAATAATGTTTGTTAATAGCCTTCGGAAGCTTAATCCACATGTTTCCAAGGACGAAGAATGCAGATTATCAGAACGATTAACAAAGAAATGATCATCGAAGATCCAATTCTATTGATGCAATTGCTGCTGAGTTTGTGTACTCCTTGGCTCTGAAACTTGTACATCCTGTTAGTTTCGTTCACACTTCTTCTGCCTGTTTTATGCATCAATGTGGCAAGAAGTAAGCAGAAATGTGATGTTGTAAATTTTCCTTTTTTTGATCAGCAGCTGATACATGGCGAAGGACTTGCTCATTTGGCTTGTATAGCTGACATCAAGTCTTGTGTTACTCAGTTGGAAATGATGGGAAAGTTAAATAACTTCATGGTATGTACAATCACCAATATAACACTAAATAGGAATCTATGTCTGCCATTAATTAGTGATGGCTGATACTTTATTTATATGATTATATTCTTGTTATATGTATGTATTTTTTTTTTATACGATTATATTCTTGTTGTATGTATGTAGTTATATAAATCTGTTACTATTTTATTTCTCACTGGTTTGATCTTGTGGATAGAATTTTATATTCAGTGCTTTATTCGACTTTTATATTTTAATAGGAAAAGTGTTAATTCTATGAAATCTTTAGGTTGAGTTTCCTGGAGTGGGATCTTTTAGTTGGACGTGGTTCTACTAGTGATAGTTAGCTATATAGAATTCGTGTGCTCCTTCTATATCTGTTATATTTCTTTTACTCCAGTTATCGAAGAAGGCCTTTTACTCACTGATAAAGAAAAAACATTTTATAAGGCCTTTTGGAGGTTTTATACACGGTTGGCAATCTTCTGGTCCTACCTGGAAGCAGTAAATTTATTCTCTTATACATGTAAACGTAGTATGGAAGCAAGCAATATTGACTCTTAACTTAAATTAGATGCACCAATTGTCATGTGGGGATTGCAGTACTAATATGGTGCCAGTTATTGGTTGAGCTTGAAAATAAATAAAGGAAAGGACTTCGAGAGGTTAGGTATAGATTTAAGAATCTTCTGGCCCTTTCCAACATGGGAGTGAGTTGATTCTGTATTAAATTCACATCCAATAGAGAATAGAAATCCATTTTTGGGTCAGGCAGGTAATATGTTATTGGGAATCATTTCATCATCTTGAGTTATTTATGCGTTATATTTTCTATGGTTTTCAAATGATTTTCTTGATCTTTGTTCTATTAATTAATTTCATGTGGTTGGAGGGTTCTTTTATACTGGAAAACATTTTATCTAATTTTTTAAATACCCCCATAATTTTTGACTCTTCTGAAAATTTTGCAGTTGAGCCAACATTGTAAATTGTCATATGAAAAATGAATGAACACTGATTTTTCTTGTACCTGGATGTTTAGAATGTGGTCTCTCTTTCTCTCTTTCTAGATAATTTAAAATCTTCTGTTGTCCATAATTGAAGTTCTTTTTTTAAGTGCACATACTGAATTACTGCTGCATTGAATTGGATAGAGGGATAACAATTCATATCCTGATATTGCTGCTTGGAAAATCAACAGGATGTGCAATTTCTTCAATGATGTTAGCATTAGGTTCATTGAAATGTTAAACTGTCTCGGTATACAAGGGCGGTTGCAGTGGTTAATGTGAATTAGAGGTTTAGATACTGAAGTGCAACGTGTTCTGATTTTCCCTACAGGCATATAATTGATTTCTTTTGCTGCATGATGTTAGCAAAAATATCATATTTGCATAATGGAAAAAGAATGATTTCTGAGTTATATCACGATGTTAAGCTAAGCTTAAAGGTGGCTCTTGAACATTCATTATTACGGATTAAAGGTTTTATGTCTGTGTGTTCACAATCCCTTAAATTGTTCAACCATGTTACTTTCTTCTTTATGGATGCCAATACTTCAAAAATATCTCTGTTAATTGAAGTAGGACCTTTCGTCGTAGTTATGGTAAACTACTTGTCATTTCATTAATAAAAAAGTTGATTTTAGTTTCAGCAGCCGTAATGGACCTTCTAGTAATGATTCCCATTACATTTATTATGTAATTGAAGAATGTGAATATGAAATTGAAGCTAATTGATATTTTTGCATTTGTGATTTGTAAAGGTTTTAGACAACATGTAGATTACTATGTTTTACTTGGGTAGAAGCTGGTAAAACTCTCATGTAAGAGTTGTTTCCATGTAAAATCTATTTTGGGAGGCTAAAGCATTTTATGTGTAGCAGTTGGTTTTAAGTACCAACATATAAAAATATCTAATATCTTCTGTTGGTGGAACTTAATATATGTCAATTTTATGTTAAAATTGAAACTTAATATATGTCATATCATACCACCTGGTCGGTGGTTCTTTTGTTTCGATTGATGGATTGCGTGTTTTGGCCGGCGGCAACCCTATTGGCCCTTTTGCGTCGCTCTTCCACTTTGATTCAGGCTTGATGTTCGGTTGGGTTTCCATGGGTCCCTCAGTGCCTTTCGTCTCCTTCCCGACGGCACCAGCATTTCCAGCCTCGCAGTTCATCAGATCTGGAGTTTACCGATCTCTTCGGTTTGTTCTTGGCCCTGTTGCTATCACTTTCGGGAGCTCATGCTCCCTATTAGATTTCTTTCGGCCATGACATTCCTTCTCAAATCCTTTTGTGAGATATTTTTCCATCGTTGCCGTTTGACGGTGTCCACTATTTTTGGTGTTTTCCGATGATGGTGGTGTTTTTCGATGATTGTGTCTTGCTGACGTCGTTCCTTTGGCGTGTGGTTCACGTTGGATGTGCCACGGTGGGTCCGGGAGAAGCTTCTGGTTCTTGTGATTGGCGCTCTTCTTTCATGGGTTTGTTTAACTGGACCTTCGGTCCAATCCAAGTTATGTCTCTTGTGGGCTTTAGGTGTTGTGTGTCCTGATATGGGTGTCTTGTACTGTGTACTGTTTTATTTTTGCATTGCCTGTTTGTATATCACTTATCAGTAATAATACGTAGGATTGTGCTTGCCACCCCAAAAAAAAAAAAAAATCATACATAAGTAATAATTGGTTTCATGTACAATCTATTCCCACCACACAAAAGTTAATCCATTTCTTCTCACCTCACTCACAGCCTGTTAGCTACTCCAATTCTCTCTCTCTCTCTCTCTCTCTCTCTCCCCCCCACCCAACAGATACCCATTTCTACAATAGATAGCTGCAGGTGAACAGTAAAATGAGCTGGTGGTGGGCTGGAGCTATTAGCGCTGCAAAGGCAAGTAATTCTGTTCCATTATCCCTTTCTCCCTCTCTCTCTCTCTATATATAGACATATATACATGTGTTGATAGTTTTGTGAATTTGAACTAAAAAATCTGCAAGTAATTCACTCTCTCTCTCTATATATGTATTGTTATATTCAATAATCTCATCCATTTTAATTTATCAGAAGAAATTGGAAGATGACGATGGGCCACCAAAGTACCAAAGCGTTGGTCTCATCGTCGGCGTGACCGGCATCGTTGGCAACAGCCTAGCTGAGATCCTCCCCCTCTCCGACACCCCTGGCGGCCCATGGAAGGTCTACGGCGTCGCCCGCCGCCCCCGCCCCCCTTGGAACTCCGATCACCCCATCGAATACATCCAGTGCGACGTCTCCAACCCCGAAGAAACCCAATCCAAGCTCTCAGCCCTCCAAGACATCACTCATATCTTCTACGTAACTTGGGCTAATCGATACACTGAAATTGAAAATTGTCCAGCAAATGGACAAATGTTGAGAAATGTACTCAATGCAGTGATACCCAATTCCCCAAATTTGCAGCATATTTGCCTTCAAACAGGTCGAAAGCATTATATAGGTCCCTTTGAACTGTGGGGAAAAGCTCAAATCCATGATCCTCCGTTTCATGAGGATCTTCCTAGGCTAGATGTGCCCAATTTTTACCATACCCTCGAAGATATTATGTGGGAAGAGGTTGGGAAGAGGGAGGGCTTAACGTGGTCTGTTCATCGACCCTCGATAATATTTGGGTTTTCGCCCTATAGTTTGATAAACCTCGTGGGTTCCCTGTGTGTTTATGCTGCAATTTGTAAGCAAGAGGGTGCTCCATTTAGGTTTCCGGGGAACCGGGCAGGGTGGGAGGAGTACTCGGATGCATCGGACGCGGACTTGATTGCCGAGCATCAGATATGGGCAGCAGTGGATCCAAATGCGCAGAACGAGGCCTTCAATTGTAGCAATGGTGATGTGTTTAAGTGGAAGCATTTGTGGAAGGTGTTGGCTGAGCAATTCGGGGTGGAGTATTGCGAGTTTGAGGATGGATTGGGTATGAGTTTAGAGGAGATGATGAAGGATAAAGGGCCAGTGTGGGATGAGATTGTGAGTGAGAATGGTCTGTTGCCTACTAAACTGGAAGAGGTCGGAGTGTGGTGGTTTGTTGATCTTATTCTGAGTGGTGAGTTGAAGTTGGATAGTATGAACAAGAGCAAAGAGCATGGGTTCTTGGGATTTAGGAACTCCAAATCATCGTTTATTTCTTGGATCGATAAGATGAAAGCTAACAGAATCGTTCCTTAGATTGATATCGAGTTGTTAATATCTCTGTTATATATATGTATATATAGATATATATATTTCGTACTCTGATGATTGTATAAAATATATAGAAACTGTACAACAGGGGTGATAGCCCCATGTCTGGTATGTGTTGAAAGAAGAGAATAATAAAGAAAGAAGCATTTGCTTCCTCAAACTATAAATAGTAGTTGTAGATTTTAGGTTGGTTTTGTGTCTGTTGGCGATACAAATTTATTGAGATGTTTGTGTTTTGTGTTTGTTTGGCAAAACAATAACCATTCATTCTGGTTCAGCCCCTGCCTAAATGGATACTAATCCTTCTCTGAAAGACCAATAATTATGTTTACATCACTAAACTGGATGAGGAATCGGGTCAAGCTCCAACGCCACTTGTAGTGGGTTGGATGCATGTCTACTCATTTTTATAAGTACAAGACCATCCTCATACGGGATTCGATTTGAGACAAGAAATTCTAATACAAGGCTTGCTCCATTTTTTAATTTTCTGTTTTCTCTTTTTTATTTTATTTTATTTTTTTATGATAGTCGTGTTGGACTTGTTTTTTTTGTTTTTCTTTTGCTGAAGCCATGAAAAAAAAAAAACTGGAAACAGAAAGAAGATCAGCCTCAAGAGATACTAAAAGCCAAGATGGCCACACATCCTAAGCAAGATCTCCTTGATTACATTTAAGAGCCCACTGACTTATATCATGAGCTACCCTGTTAGGAACCCAGTTCAATGAAAAGGTAGGTACATTAGAAGCACCAAAAACCATTTTAGCTATATCTTCAATCACAATCGCCGAAGAAGAATCTGGAGGAGAAAGGGACATAACACACTTACAGTCTCCTTCAACAATGGATCGGGTGTAACCCCATACTTACAACAGACGTAACCCAAAACGAACAACCAAAGCTTCTGCCATGGAAGCAGAGTGGACAAAATAAAAAAGGCACAAAGCAACTCTCACCGGTCTGCCACAAGAGTCCTTCAAAATTAATCCACCACCACATCTCTTGCGACACTGATCAAAAGCTGCATCACAATTGAGTTTGAACACCCCATGTGGCGGAGGGAACCATAACACAGGCCTAGGAGGAGCCGCAGGCATTTCCGTAAGCCTAGCATCCTTCTGACAAACATCCCTGAATTCAACAAATTTGTCCATAGCCCTGTTCAAAACCTCCAAAAAGTCCGATGTTCTCGCATTGAAGACTTTGTCATTTCGACACTTCCATAATTGCCAACATATAAACGCCCCCAAACTGAAGCACTCTGTTGGATTAGCAGAGTTGTTCCAACAAGATGAGAGCTTTAACCATCTTCTCTTCCATGGGATATCATTGCCAAGCGAGTTAAGCTTAAACGGAGATGCTTTCCACACCAATTAAGCAATTTCACAGTTAAAGAGGACATGATTAATAGTTTCCTCCGACAATCCACATTGTGGGCATGTAGTGATGATTGAAATGCTTCTTTTCCGTAAGTTACACAACACTGGAACTTTATCATGCGCGCATTGCCATAAAAAGAACTGAATCTTCCGGTAGGCCTTAAGCTTCCAGAGGTGTTTCCAATGGCCTTGGAATTCCATCTCATGACTACACTCAGCCCTTTCAATGCCAGACTGATAACCGTTAAACCTAACAAACTCTGAGACAGCCAGTTTGTATGCACTTTTGACATAAAACTTCCCATTATGTGAAGGACCCCATCTTAGATAATCATCCAAATCTGAAGCAATAATTGGCGTTTGAAGAATCAGATTTGAATCACGAGCATTAAAAATATTCTGTATGAGATGAACTTTCCACGACCTCAAATTTGTATCGATCAGATCAGCAACTTTAGAAGGACTTCCTGGATTGCAAACCGATGTAAGCCTTGGATTTGAAATGTCGGGCAGCCAATTGTTATTCCAACAGTCAACTTTAGAGTCCGTAGCAATTTTCCAATGAATTCCTCGTCGGAGTAAATCCTTAGAGGCTGAGATATTGCGCCAAACCTAGGAGCTTCTTGATCCACATCTAGCGTCCAGAAAATCACAGTCGGGGAAATACTTAGATTTATAAATCTTGTTAAATAAGGAATCCTCACCCACAACCAACGTCCAGCCCAGTTTTGCCAAAAGGGCGATGTTGAAAGCAGCCAAATTTTTGAACCCCAAACCACCATCATTCTTATGGCCACACAGCTTTTCCCAGTTAACCCATCTAATCTTATCATTGTCCTTCTTTCCAGACCACCAAAAGGCAGACATCAGACTAGTTAACTTAAAACATTGAAGAACATAAGTAGGAATATAAGCAAGAGTTGCCTTGAGTAATACCTCTCTACCAGCCTTGGACAACAATTCTCCTTTTAGACATTTGATTCGAGCTGAGATTTTGTCTTCCAGAAACTTAAAAGAGGTTTTCTTGGACCTCCATATAAGAGACGGGAGTCCAAGATACTAATTATTCCATCGAGCTTTCGTGACTCCAATGATTGATGGGAGACAATGTTTTGTATGAGTGTTCGTGTTAGCACTGAAAAAAAGGCCTGACTTATCAGAATTTATCATTTGACTGGTGAGATTGTCATAGTCAACTAGAACTTGTTTCAGTGTAGATACATGATTAAGGGTGGCCCTGCAGAAAAGTATAGTGTCATCAGCAAATAACAAATGAGAAATTTGGGGAACTCCTCTGCCAATGGAAACACCTTCCAGCAAGTTTCTTTGAACGGCGGTGCGGAGAAGAATAGAGAGAGCCTCAGTACAGAAAAGGAAAAGATAGTGAGACAAAAGATAACCCTGTCTGAGACCTATAGTTGGGAAAATCAAACCACCAGGTTCTCTATTCACCATTATAGAATAAGACACCCTACTTATACAACTCATAATCATCTTAGTCCATTGCTCGCAAAAACCCAAGCAATATAACATTTGTTGCAAAAAATCCCATTCTACTCTATCATACGCCTTAGCTATATCAAATTTAAGTGCCATAAACTTCTTCTCACCTTTAGAGTGAGTCTTAAGATAATACATAATTTCATGTGCTATCATAATGTTATCATGGATAAGTCTGTGAGGCACAAAAGCACTTTGGCAATCGCTAATGAGGTGTGTTAAAAAGGGTTTTAGGCGATTTGCAATGACTTTCGAAATTTTTTTTGTACACAACATTACAAAGAGCAATGGGTCGAAAATGGGACATTTTAGGGGGATTTCTTTGTTTAGGGATTAAGGCAAGGTTTGTATGGTTTAGGCCTTTTAACAGACAACCAGAATGAAGGAAAGAATTAAAAGCTCTCACCAGATCAACTTTGACAGTATGCCAATTCACTTGATAAAAAAGAGGGGTGAAACCGTTTGGACCTGGAGCTTTAAAGGGCCCCATATCCTTTAAAGCAGGACGCAGCTATTCTTTAGTAGCTTCTTTCGTCAATGATAGATTCATATCTGCAGTAATTATGGGACGAATCTGCTGCGAAAAGGACACATTTGTTGAAGCGAAAGATGTCGAAGAATATAGTTGTCCAAAATAGTGCTCTGTTATTTGTCTCACCTTTTCTTTAGAATCTTTCCAAATCCCCCTAGCATCTTCCAAACCATAAATACTATTTTTTTTTCCTTTGAATAAGGGCTTTCGATGGAAAAATTTTGTGTTGTTATCACCATGTTGAAGCTAACTGATCCGGGATTTCTGTTTCCAGTATAACTCCTCCTCCCGCCAAGCCTTTGCTAGCTCTTTTTCAAGTCTGAAACATGACTCTTTGCCAAAGTTACTGAGATTCTCTTTCAGCTTTGTCAGTTGATCTTGCAAATTCCTTATTTTTAAGGCAGAATTGCTATCCCAACACTCCTTCTAGATTTTAAGCTGCCCTTTACAAGACTTGAGTTCTTCTTGTAAGGTGAACATTGGAGAGCCAGCAACAGGACATTCCCAGACATGGTTCACCACTTCTTTGAAGTCTTGATGCTGAACCCACCTTGCATCGAAATAGAATTATTTTCGCACTCTTACAAGATCCTCATTTAGATATAATAGAAGGGCACGATGGTCCGATCCCTCCATAGAAAGATGATGAATTGCATTGTGAGGGAATGAATCCAACCACTCTTTGGAACACAAGCCTCTATCAATTCTAGACCAAATGGTGTTCCCCTCACCCTTCTGATTGCACCAGGTGAAGGGGAAGCCCTTATACCCCAGGTCAATAAGACCAGTACTCAAAAGGAAATTCTTGAACGATCTAAGCATCCACCCTTCTGTTTGCGAGCCACCTCTCTTTTCAGAGGAATGCAAAATTGCATTAAGATCACCCATGATAATCCACCAAGGACCCAAACGAAATTTCAGCTCTTGAAGGTAATCCCATTGTTTAGCCCTTGTTGCGTCAACGCACGAAGCATACACCCCTGTAAAAAACCAAAAACCAGATGCCACTCCATGGCTAAATCTGCAAGTAATCTGAAACTTATTACTTTCGACCACCTAAAAATCAATTCCGTCTGCAATCATCACAGCCAATCTTCCCGAAAGGCCTCGAGGGGGCACCAAATGTAAATGAAGGGAACCCAAAATATTACGAATTCGGATCAACTTCTCTGTACAATTTTTTGTTTCCAACAACACAATAATAGTTGGGGAATGGAGATTCACCAGTCTCCTCAACTGGGATATTGTCAGGGGGTTCCCCGCACCCTGACAATTCCACACTAGAGCTTTCATTGATCACCGTGGGGCCATTTAGGGTTGGCTTTCTCCACCACAGTACTAGTTCTAACAACAATCTCCTTTTCCAAAAGGAGAGGATTAGCATCTTCCTCCATCTCAGCCACCTTCCTGCTACCTAATCTGCGCTTCGAGGCTTGAGAATCTGAATCCAAACATGGTTGTTTTCGTTTACCATAGCCTTCAATTTCACAGGGACAAAATGACCCAATTTGACTCTGAGCTTTCCTCTTCCAATAACGCTGAACAGAATAGTTGCAGACAACAGAAGTGTCAAAATTGAGAGAAGTATTGATAGTAGGTGAAAGAGATCCAGTTGGGATAAGAAGAGAAGTCGATAGAGATGTGGGCTCGATAACCTCAACAGTAGAGAATAACAAAGGATTACTACTTCGAAAAATAGTACTGGCTCCAAGACAGCCCAAGTTCTAGTGAGGTAAATGGGTTGACCCATTTAAGTAAATGACCGGACCACTCTGCGCCAGCCTAGTAGGATAATCCCCACCCATGTGAAAATCCACATGTCGCTCTGGTAC